GTCAGCTTTGTCAGCTTGAAAAACAGTCTGAACTTAACAGAAAGAACATCGGATTACCTCCTCAAGTCGTTGCATGTACACAGGTTGACTAATATCTATGGCGACATTTTCTTCTTCTTTCGCCAGAGGGTCAATAAAACACCGTAGAAATTTCTTAATGTTCAGGGTAACAAAAGAAACAAAACAAGTTAAATTTAATGCATTTCGGAATAAACCACTATTCAAAATACTACAAATTATGAGTATGTCACAATTTCAAGATGACCTTAAGTACTAATTTCCTTCTTACAAACTCAAAAACCACTGGCAATCTTAAGTTACCTATAGAAATCTGCCCCCTGGGGGAAGGAGGGAAAAAAGAGCTGATACCAAGCGCTCAAGTAGAAAGAAAATGCTTTGAAAAATAAGCACAAATGTGATTCATACAACTGATGCACAGATTGTTATTAAGAGCTGTTAAGAACCACCAATAAAACGGCTTAAAACAAACAAACAAAAAAACTGACCCTACTGGGTGCAATAGCAAAACAATGTGAAGAAATTTGATGGTACCCTGTTAACAGATAAAATAGCGTGTGGAGTCGTAAAGGTTTACTTCCAAATAAGCAGCATCTAAGGGAGGGGTCAACTAAGTCCATATGGAAGAAGCCCACCACCACCAGTGACTGTAAATCATAGACTCGAAGACTGTAAATCATATTATCTGAAGCCAAAGAAGGGAACAGTATCAGAGTCTAAATTATGAGACTCTGTTTTGCACTGATTATCTGTACAGGAAATAAGCCTCCAGCATTTCCCCTCTATCCATAATGGACGGGTAGGAATGAACTGGTTACCAATGTTTTGGAGAGATGACTATAGAAGATCAAAATGGGGACTGGGAGGATTGCAGGGGAGCTGCTAACAAGGAGTGCAGGAGAAGAATGTTGAGAAACTGATTGTGGTAACAATTGTATACTACAGCTTGATATGACTGAACTATGGAACGATATCCGTTATTAGCTCCCAATAAAATGGTTTTGGGGAAAAAACAAAGAAAAAGAAAACCTGTCCTTATGTACTGTCATCCAGAATTATCATAGCTGTAAGCTGGGAATTTTAAATGTATAGCTCACCTGAAAATTTTCTTTACACGTTGCCACATTGACATCTGTTCCCCATATCACAAGTTTCTGGCCCAGAGATGGCTCGCTTGTCACTGCATCTTCTGTTGTTGGCTACGGAAAAATGACAGAGCCACATCAACAGGATTACCCACTCCGCATTCCCCG